TGGAAGTTGACGAAATTATTGGGGTCACCAACAATGAGGCGATTGAATGTCTCGAGAAGTTGCAAAATTATCTTGTTAAGGAAAATAATACCTCAATCTCATTCGAAAGGATTCGCCAGCTTGATAATATTAAAAACAATATTATCAATAATATTATGTCTAAAAAAGTGCAGACGCAATTGGAGCAGTACTTCGATTTTAACGTTAATAATTAGACATTTTTCAATTGTTGCTTTACATGTTTGTTATGGGCATCAAAATATGAATTTAACTCGATAATTTAGCATTAATAAAAACCATCGGTTTCTAGCAATCTGGATATAATGAATCTAATTATCAATACTTATAATCTTCACTATAAAAAGTGTCCTTCGTTATAAGGAATTTCTGGTTATAACTCTGGTCCCGTAGAATTCGTTATAACCAGCTTTGACTGTATCCCTCCACCTACGGTATCTAAAAGTTGAATATACAGCGCAACAACCTTTGCCGTTACTCTGTATACGCACATACGACAGTTTGCTACAATTCAACAAGTCTTTGAAACAACAACTCGGTTTATCAACACATAGCCGAGAAAGAGTACAAATATTCCGCGCTTATGTACAAATATAAATATGCTTTATATAGATAAGACGTTGGGTGTAATAGTAATAAATTTAATTTAATTATAGATCAGCTTGTAAGTGCGGATCGAATAATAAATTAGTAAATATCTGAAGACCCAGGTACCGCGCAACATCGAATATCTTGACTGAACGAACATGGTTTTAAATAGGAGCTTGTCACATTAAATCTGCGCGCTTTTTTATAACTACCTTTATCCGCCGATATAAGCTGCCATTTAATTAGCTTTGGCTCTGGAGATAAGAGGACAGGATGAATTAATGAGGTAAAGCAAACAAATACAAATAAGTAAATAAATAAATAAATAAATAAATAAATAAATAACAGGAACAGAATCAACTATTATATCTCAGTTGGTCCTCTGGGAGGTTTTTTCCCTTCCTGACAATGCCTTTACTCTCCATGTACCGTGTAGCGAAAGATCCCAACTAGGTTGTTATAAATAAATATTGAATGATAATCCAACCAATCGTTTTCGACAACTATTCACCTTGAGTCATCGTACACTTGGATCCTTCAATGACGACAATGACTTCCCTCTTAAATATAACAAATGATCATTGATTGGCTGCCTGACGGACGCTTTCCATAAATTCCCAAAATTTGCACGTGTAATAAATACACTGATTTTTATCTGGTCAATGGGGAATCCATTTATTAGATCAAGTCTTCTCCCGAGTACAATTCGTTCACGCTTTGTAATCTATGGTATTCGATGTCTAGGTAATGTTTGCCATCTCTTATTTATTTAATGCTGATGAAATTCTCATATGTCGTTCTCATATAGTATCAACGTCCAAGGCTTCAGAAGAGCAGTCACATTCAACACTTCATCCACATTTGAATTACAAGCATTTCCGAAGCAATGTTGACAAAATTGCACAGAATATTCGTGACAGAGCTATTCACGACGCGGACATTTACAAAGTCGTAAACTTGTATGATAAAGTTCGAATACTTCGTGCTGAAGTCAAAGATATCAATCGTATGAGAAACGATGTACAAAAACAAGCTCAAGTGGCAAAGGCCGAGAGACATTCAGCTTTAGTTGAAAGAGGTCGTGAGCTAAAGGAACAGGCGCAGGCTAAAGGAATGGAACTAGATAAACTAGAGACCGAGTTAGTACTGGAAGGATCGAAAATTCCCAACGACACACACCCCGATGTGCCTGTTGGCGGTGAATCCAAGGCACATATAATTAAAGAACAGGGAATACCCATCGATAGAACCACCCACTCGTTTGAAATTAAAGATCACATGTCATTATCACGTAGTTTAGATCTAATAGATCTTGAGTCTGCCGCAAATGTTACTGGTAGCAGCTGGTATTATCTTCGCAACGCCGGCGCTTTGTTGGAACTGGCTCTAATACAATACACTATGTTAAAAGTTACAAATAAAGGATTCACTCCGATAATAACACCGGACGTTGTAAGAGCAGAATACAGCTATGCATGTGGCTTTCAGCCTCGATCGCACGAGGCATCTCAGAATTACTTTGTCACATCTGGACGTCCGTCGCCTTCTGGACAATCTCCCCGATTGATGTTGGCTGCAACCGCCGAAGTTCCATTAGCTGGGATGTATTCGAATAGACTACTCTCCGAATCACAATTACCAATAAAAATGGTTGGGTTTGGTAGAGCTTTTCGTGCCGAAGCAGGAGCTAGAGGGGCTGATACGAAAGGATTATACAGAGTTCATCAGTTTAGCAAAGTAGAATTGTTTGCTTTGACAACACCGCACGAGAGCGAAGCTATTCACGAAGAAATCAGATTGATTCAAGAGGAAATTTTTGAGGAGTTAGGACTATGTTATAGGTAAAGAATGTACATCAACCAGATTTACTATTTATCTAACAGAATGAAGTTTCGGACGGATACCCTAATCGTAATACGTATCAACCAGAACATTAGATATGCCAACCGAGGAGTTGGGAGCAAGTGCATACAGAAAGTACGACATAGAAGCGTGGATGCCCGGACGTGATGGATGGGGAGAGGTTAGCGATTCGATGGAGAGTGCGCTTACTATTGTGTACAATTTTGTGAGGCTAGTATACTAATATCAGCTTTAGATATCATCGGCATCCAATTGCACGGATTATCAGTCTCGACGACTAAACATCAGATATCGCCCAACTTCGTCCCACGGTGGCGATATTCATGCTGAGGACGGCAGGCAGCAGAAGACAACAGAATATGTGCATACTCTGAATGGCACAGCGTTGGCTGTCCCTCGTGTGATCATTGCAATTCTAGAGAACTTTCAGACACGTGAGGGAAAAGTACATATACCAGAAGTGTTGGTGCCATGGATGGGAGGATCGAAAGTCATCCCATGACAAAAGTAAGACGAATATATTATGTGTTGCAAAATAATATGACACTTATTGACGTGCGAGCTATGCTTCTAATTTCAGTAATCTGTAAAGATCTGCCACAAGATATAAACTTCCACATAAAACTGTTATTCCAGCATCATCCTTACTTCTCGTTATGGCATTTTGGATGGCATTAGTCAAATTTACACTTGACTTGGCAAACATATCAGTATGAATCCCCTTTGCGCTATCTGCGATTAGATCCGGATTGCATGGGTGCACCCATGACATATCCTCAACGTCAGAGAATGTCACGGCATACACTGAATCGTGGCTTCTGAGAATCAATCTAAGTATTTCAGAGATATCCCTACCGTTTTTTATGCCAATTATCCAATGAATCGGCTTACTCTCGTCAAAATGATTATCAATAAAAGATCGAAGAGCAGATAAAGCTGGTATGTTATGAGCACCATCAACTAGCATTCTTTGGTAGCTCCCCCCTAACACTGGCGAAACGTCGATCCACTCGAGTCTTCCCGGCCATTTCGTATTCCTTATTCCTTCCTTGATGTGACAATAGGTAATTGAAGCAAACTCACTGATATGTTTACGAAGTGAAAGAATTGCTGTTACAGCAGTCGCAACATTATCCAATTGAAAGTCACCGAGAAGCGGAACATGAAAGTCGAAGTCACCATCTTCAAGTTGCATGCGTGCATTACCGTCAATCCATCTGGCAGCATTTACAATAATAAACTCATCGCATTTAATTTTAACTGCACAGTCCACCAGAATTTGTTGCACCGCCGGAATTTGGGGCGCAAAAACTGCTTTACCCTTTGGCTTCAGTATCCCAGCCTTCTCCTTGGCAATAAGGTCTATGGTTTCGCCCAATATTTCCATATGGTCCATACCGATGGTCGTAATAATACTCACGAGCGGTGAGGGAAATAAATTCGTCGCGTCTTTGGCGCCACCAAGGCCTACTTCAATGATGGCGATTGATACTTTCTCATCATCAAAGCAGCATACCGCCACTGCCGTCAATAGTTCGAAAGATGTTGCCCCAATATTAGATGCTGAATTGATAGCTTCGATGCGGCTGCGAACGCGCTGGTAAGATTCCTTATTGATGGGTACGCCATTGATACGGATTGAATCGCGCGGTTCGAGAAAGTGAGGAGAGTTGTATCGGCCTGTTTTATAACCAGCTTTTATAAGGATTGAGTCTATGTAGGATGTTACGGATCCTTTACCGTTAGTTCCGCCAACATGAATTACGGATAGGCGAAGATGCGGATTCTCGAGTTTTGAGAGAAGAGAATTGATTCGTTCTAAGCCGAAGTTCATTGTTTTTCGTGTGAATGAATAGGGTTTAATAATGTGTTTGTTTTCTGGCGAAGTGGTCGGTATATCTTCTTTTTCAATCCCTTTTTATTCGTAACCAGTTTTTAAAACGGTTGGCTAATACAACTTTAATGTTATTATCGCATGAAACTATCTGTTGCATGAAACTATCTGTTGCATTGCATTTTATTACGTTTCATTGGCAGTGATCAACAGTAGTCGTCGGAAAAGAGTTTAAATTCGTACCTTTTTTTTCAGTACTATTTGTCAAAACGTAAGAGTCTTTCCTATGCTTGTTAGTAGTATCACGCCAATCAAAAGCGTACTCATTCATTAAAGAGGGCTAAATTTGTCGTTATATCGAAACATGATGTTAAGCTAATATCCTTAAAAAATCACGTTATTTGCATTGATGTAATCTGAAGTAATACCAAGCGTTGAATAATAGTAGAGCCCTGAATAATAGTAATAGGCAAATTTGCCTCGTTAGAAATAGGGGAATTAATAGAGTATGCAGTTCAGCCACTTTGCCTCATGAATTTGAAGGATTTCCATCTTGCGTTATTGTTGAATGCAGGTCTGACACGTGTAGGTTCAGTATTTTTTGTTACGTCGGGCATCAAATTTTCAACTATCAATTCTGGCTCATAGCCCTACTAGAAGAACTAAGTATGCCAATATTTTCAATTTAAATCGTGAATCCAAAAAACGAAATTCAGACAACGAAATACAAACATCAAATGCGAACATCCAAAATAACATTCGAGCCATAATGCTAAAACCCGGGCAATAATTTCAATGTATACAGCATTCAAAGCTATTACGATTGCTAGCTAACCATAAACTGCTTAAATTACAATATAATTCTGATTTCACAGTCAGTCTCGATAATTCGGTTTTGGCTCTTGTTTAATCTTTCGACAAGTACATTCTCAATGGTGGAGTACGATGATTAGCAATAATATGGGTGAAAACAGTTCTATGATGTAGAAATGAAGATTTAAACGTCAAATAAGTATAACAAGTCAAATTCTTAAGTCTAAGCGAGTATTTTGCGATGTAAGTATAATAAACCGTTTAACTAAACGTATTATATTCGATCACATGATTTTCGATTTGTAATTTATCTAAGATTAAATGTATGTAATGTATAGAATAAAAACGACAGTATGTACAATATTCATGCTGCATAAGTAAACATAACTCGCAGAATGACCTGCACTTTTTGCTTCATATATTCTTCCGATTCAATTCAAATATAACACTTTGAAAATTGTTTCCATTATCCGTAGTCAAAACAGAAGTAATGTCAATGGTTACCTTTTGGTCAAAGAGTAATCGCAATAATACTAATACGTTTTCTTAATTTTGAGAAAAACGTAAAACATTTTTACTAATTGCATTATACTTGACCATAATCATGCTGCTGAAGTGAGTCGACTAGGTGTTAGAAATACTGTGCAGAGCGAGCAAAAGCAGTCAATGCAAATATTTCAAACTATGACTGCTGATACTTCTCGCGAAATACATTTATATCTTCCATCCCGTGATGCACTCTGTCAAACCATTAAATGACTTCGGCGTTCCGCAGAGCCAGAATTTCTGGCTTGGCATCCTTGAAAATCTTATGAAATTATTAAGAATATGCTCACTGAAAAGGGTTATTATTTATTACATAAAGAATAAACTTATAACATATAGCAAAGCACCAAGTGCAATATAAATCATTGTTTTTAATATAATAATTTATTGCTTATTTTAACCAGAATGAAAGTAGTATGATCTTGTCAAACTACTTCCTTTGGGGCTAGCCGTTGTTTCTGGAAGATCATCAAGAGTAAATAATTCTTCTGGTATTGTTCGGAAGGCAACGTTTTTCACTTCTTTGACAACACCGAGGACATTGATTATATCATGCTATAATAATAACATCATCACAGGAAATTAATGGAATAAGAAATCTATTAACAAATTGACAATATATAGGAGCATACCTTTAATCGCAACACATCCTTTAGAACACCAAGGCTTTCTGGGACACTTCTAAATGTTGTTCCAATTCGATATTGGCACAACTCAAACACAAAATAATGTTTGAGATTCACATCATAATACATGGCGTATATCGTCCCGTTCAAACCTTTTGATTGCAAACCGATTTCAGCTAATGTTCAGGAAAACCATGTTTGATACAAGAAACTCTTTCTCTATTACTATATTTCCATAATAATAATTACCTCCATGAGATATTCCATGAATAACAATACGCCTCACCCTCATTATTGTCTCTTCTGTGAATTTCAATCTCTTCAATAGACGATCCAACTGATCTTTCATTTCCCTAAACATTCTCTGATCTTCTACAGACGCGATATTCTCCCAAAACATGGTAATTGTCTGTGATTTCTTTTCTTCCTAAAAGAAAAATGTTCAAGTCAGGAGATAGCTAAATCAAACTACCGGAGCCGCAACTCATGACACCCGACCGCGGCCCCACCCAAAGAAAACATTGGACCCGTCCGCTACAACAAAAATAAGAATGAACCTCTAATATAGCAAGCGTCTCTTCAGTCCTCAGAATAACAGCTTCAGGTGCCTGTTCCCAGTTAAGTATTGCTCTAAGACTGCGGGCATATCGTCGCTGTCGTGTTGACGGTGTCGTAAAAACTCAGCAGAGACCAATCGTGATCAAGGGTGAAGTAAGCAGGGTCATCCACAGGGATTCCTAACTAAAAGAAGGCTTCCTTTATTAAAAATAAAAACTAATGCTAGATGAACACGAAAAAAAGACTTGCCTTCCATCGTTAATGTGTTAAGGGCTAGATGAACGCGAAAAAGACTTTTTATTTTTTGCTTAAATAAACGCGATTAATGATCACGTGATACAAGTTATCCCGCTTCGGAGAGAGCAATTGATAGATATGCTTCCCCTAGCAGTCAGCACGATATTGCTATGCTACCGTTTAATAGAATTTTAGTACTCTATTAAAAACTCTCTCTTCTTGATAAATTTTATAAGAAAATTTTTCTTTCCTGAGGTAAGCTTCTAGTGTTTAAGTATTATTTATTTTCAAATGTAAGGAGCGAATTTTTCACCTTGTTCTTTCTTTAAAATACTTCTAATAGTGCCGTAATTTTTAGGTTTCATGGTGGATCTGATATAAACTAGTTTCATATAAGGAATTTTATACAGGAATACTCCAATACTGATATAGTTTTAAAAAAAATTGGGTAATGTATGACGACTCTGATAAAAACAAATGCTGATGTTCTAATCTAATTGTAAAGAGTCAAAATGGGAAAAGGGATATAGCTTTATTATTATGTTCTGGCCCATAGCCCATTTTCGCAATAGGCACATTATTTAACATCACAACCAATAAGTGACATCTAATCAACATGTTTATGTGATAATAGCGAAATAAAATGTGCTTATTTCGAACTGGGCCGGAATCCCAGAACATTTATTTACAGCTATTGACCATGCATAATACAAAATTTACGTATGTGCATACTCATTGCTGCAAATGATGGATATTATACATTTTGATAACATTTATAAAAGAGTCGACGATAAGTTTGTGAATGGTGGACTAGTTACATCATTTTTTTGCTTCTTGAGATGTAAATGGTACTAACTTACAGATACATGTCAACATATTTTTTCTTTTGTTAACAATATATTTCAGTACTATTATTAAATTGGCATAAATATGAATAAATAAAGTAAGAAACGCTGTTTCTCGATAACAATAAGGAAAGTTACAATGCTGTTTTGTATAAATTGTCACCTCGAACAAAGACACGTATAATTACGTGCACATAGTAGAGATAATAATAAAATACGTAAAAGTGAAAATTTGCTTCCATGTGGTCAATTGGTACATAAATGAGTGCGCATAAGAATATTCTTACATAGTTACAAAAATTTATAAAAAAGCCTTATCACAATAATAACAATAAAGGCAAAAGAATTCAGTAAATAAACAAGATCATTGATGCGTAAAATATTTATGTAGGATTACCTGTATACGGAAAATTCTAATTGTACCAGTTTTACCAATATAAAAAGCAATTCGTTTCTTAAAGGTAGGCTGCAATTGTGCTTGCGCAAAAATGATTCCAAGAGAAATGTTTGCCGAATTACGTAAAGCGTTTCAAGCTCTCTCTAAATTCGAGCAAGATATATTTTTAATCGCCCTGCTGAAAAACCATGAATAATGGAGAAATAACGGTAGTCGACGTTTGAAAAAGAAAACGCGTACTAGTAAAAGAACTTTTTACTACTGAGATTGCAATACACCTCTATGTCGGAAAACGTATCTAAATATGTTAGGAATTGGTCACACTTACTTCCAAATCA